GGCGCCTCCACACCCTCGCCCTACCATCAGCAAATCGAAGATTAAATCGGGATTAATCACTGAAGACAACTTGATTCCAATTCCTCTGAGTCCATCGTAAGTGTCGCTGTGCCCACAATTGACGTTGACGCCTGTGTAATTGAGTCAGAATCGGTCCGCAGTATGGCCGTCGTGCTTGAAAGTGAGCAGTTCTCAGACGGTTTCGAACAGTTTGCGCACTCAGTCTACCCCTAAACAGTTCATTTCTGGTTGATGTAGCCGTCAAAAATCGGTTACGGAGGTGACGTAAGACAATCTGACGATCCTCTGCATGTGACGTCACACGTGGTCGACCTGGCCGAGGACGATCAGCGGTGGTAACAGCCGTAAAGACTTTTGTTTTCTTGTGTTTTTCTTTTTTTGTTAATGACTGCTAACAAGTATGGCTGAAAACACGTGCGGTATTATGGCCACGTGACCAGTTGCACGTGAAAAAACACTTTTGCCACTATAATGCGCGCTGTGCACATGATTTTGATCGATTGACCTGCACAAAAACGGATGTTATATGAAGACAATACGTGGCCATTACTGTTTAAATACACAATAAGGGCCCACAATGATAACTGGTCAAAATGTTAAAATTTTAGGATTGTGAAGTTTTTAATTTGGTTCAGTATATATTTTCTTGTGAAGGAGTTAGTTTCCTAATTCTAATTTAGTTTGAACGAAGTCATTAAATGAAAGCCTTTGTTGACTGATATGTTTCTTTGACCTCTGACCGCCTCCGTGGTCTAGTGGTAGAGCGTCCGCCCGGAGAGCGGAAAGTCCGGGGTTCGATCCCCGGTCGCATCATACCAAAAGACGTTAAAAGATCGTACTTGTTGTTACCCTGTCTGGCGCTAAGCATTAAGGGGCTAAAACAAGGACTGGTCAGCTCGGAGTCAGTATACTGTGTCTGAGTGGGGTATTCATGTTAAGCTGCGGCATGGTATCTCAGTGGGCTAGCACTATAAATCGGCATCATTCCGGACGAGTCCAAGCAGCCACACATGCACCTGCATGCACGTCGCTATATAAGTACAATAATCGTGGACGCGACGTTAAACCCAATTTTACCTCACCTCACCTTCTTTGACTCTAGACTCAGTTAATACTTGCAAGTGTCGTATACTGCTAAAGTTGTTATGTATCCATTGGTGACCTAATCCCAGGGGTCGAAAAATATGCATGTAAGAGGAATGACAATATTTCAACCACATAGAACGCCAATGGGAAAAGGTCTGATATACATTTAAGTTCGCGTGTCTTTCTAATATGTAATACGTTTTCGGTGCATACTGTCATGTTTGGCCCAACTATTACCTTTGACCTTCACATAAACAAAGGCCTGTTTTATCGGGTTTTGCTGCATTTTCGACAGTTTTGAAGCTAAAAAAATTAATAATATACATTACTCGCCTGTGAAGTTATCAACCGTTTAATAACAATGAGCTGGTACTACACTGGTGTTTAATACCAAAGTGCATGCTTACATGTACGTATGTACTGCGGGAACAGGTTTGAATATTGAAAACTTTCAACATCCCTTGGCTAATTCAACGACATTACGCGTTGAGATTATAGATTCCTGAGAGGAGCTTATGCACACTCGATGACCCCAGCAAACCTGTTTGCTAGGCTGACGTCACACGGCATTGTTTCGGTGTGTCTTGCAGCAAAACTTCTCAAATTACAAAGGGAATTGTGCGTGATTGCTTTGTTGTGCAAGACCCCGTTCAATCCAGTTATTGACATCATAAGCATCGATCCGCGCAATTGGGATACGATGACATGCATCAACCAAGTCAGAGATCTAGAGTCTGACCACCCTATCCTCTTAGTCGCCTCTTGCGACAAGAATAGTCGCCTTTTACGGCAAGCATGAGTTGCTGAAGACCTATTCTACGGGTGACAAATCCAGTGTATGGATCTGATCTAATGTGATGTCAAATACCAAGGAGAACTAGTTTAGCTTAAATATGGATCGACCTCCTCAATTCCGGTTTGTTGATTCTTGTTCTGGTTTAGCTCATTATGGATTAGGTGCTAAAAATTTCATTATCGGGTGACAAATCCAGTGTATGGTTCTAATCTAATGTGATGCCAAATACCAAGGAGAAATGTTTTGCTCATGAGTAATTTAGAGCTGACTAGTTTTGTAGCCCTCTGTACATGTATAACATATCATGCACAGCTAATGAAATAGTTTTATATTTGTCCTTGTTTACTTTGAAAACAGATATACCAACATGACGTCACTGATAGTTGGTCTCTGCCTGGGGGTTCTGGCGGTTATTGTGTCTGGTCAAAGCGGCTTTTTTCGCCAACCCTTCCTCCCTACAGCAAACTACCGGCCCTACAGGCTACACCAACCCTTCTCCCGGTCACGGATATATCTCGACCACCACTACCCACCACAAGGTAAACATAAAGGCCACTACCCTCAAACAGGGCAGCAACAACCTATCTACCCTCAACAAGGGAAGCATCAACAACCTATCTACCCACAGCAGGGGCAGCAACAACCAATCTACCCACAACAGGGGCAGCAACAACCAATCTACCCACAGAAAGGACAGTAACAACCAATCTGCCCACAACAAGGACAGCAACAAACAATGTACCCACAAGGGCAACAACAACCTATCTACCCACAACACGGGCAACAACAACCCATCTACCCTCAACAAGGGCAACAACAACCTATCTACCCTCAACAAGGGAAGCATCAACAACCAATCTACCCACAACAAGGACAGCAACAACCTATCTACCCACAACAGGGGCAGCAACAACCTATCTACCCTCAACAAGGGCAGCAACAACCTGTCTACCCTCAACAAGGGAAGCATCAACAACCAATCTACCCACAACAATGACAGTAACAACCTATCTACCCACAACAGGGGCAGCAACAACCTATCTACCCACAACAAGGGCAGCAACAACCTGTCTACCCTCAACAAGGGAAGCATCAACAACCAATCTACCCACAACAAGGACAGCAACAACCTATCTACCCACAACAGGGGCAGCAACAACCTATCTACCCTCAACAAGGGCAACAACCTGTCTATCCTCAACAAGGGATGCAACCACCTATCCCACTGCAACAAGGGAAGCAACAACCTGTCTACCCTCAACAAGGGGAGCAACAACCTATCTACCCACAACAAGGGCGGCAACAACCAATCTACCCACAAGGGCAACAACAACCCATCTACCCACAACAGGGGCAGCAACAACCTATCTACCCACAAGGGCAACAACATCCCAGATACCCACCGCAAAATGGCAAAAGCACCAATAAGCAAATCAACAACCCAAATCAGACCAACGAGAAAAAGTTCAACACCAAAAAACCATGTTCCTGGCAACTCTAAACTCGCAAAATGATTGTAAACGTGAAAAACGTGACATTTCTCCTGAGTAAACAAATACGAAATTGGCATAAACTGAAAGGTACAAATGCCTAAAACCAAAAATGATATACAAATATGTTTCCAATTCGTTAAAGATGTTATTTTTCATATATTGGAATGAGCAATAACATTGTAATCACATTATATATTTTTGATTCTACGGTCAATATTTTGTCTCGGTCAATCAACCCCAGTTAAATTGTTTTGCCACCTGCTGTATACTGTTTGTTTCAGTGTGTGTTGAGCGGCTGGATGGGTGGTATCGCCAATGCATGCAAAGCAACAATAGACGTGAATATAATGACCCACTCTAACACAATCCATGCATCCGAACAACAGGGAGAGCCGTGTACCTGATACACTGTGACACTTCAGTCTATAAAAAGTTCTTTATAATCCGTTGTCAATCGTACGAACATTAATGACAGCAAACGGAAAGTTCAACCATATGTTTTATTTTTATCAAAACGAAACAGCAATTTCCAATCAATCAACATGAAAGTGTCATGTCCTGAGGACAAAGAGACGGTTAAATCTTCTTTTCTTTATACCTGTAAGAAGTTGTATTAAAACTTTATAAGGTTTGAGACGAAGGGTCGCTGTAAGAAAATTCTATATGACGTCATTGTTGAATTGAATGCTATTCATTACGGACCCCTGAATCTGACGTAATAAATGGATGTTGTTTAACGCCGTAAACAGCATTGTCACAACGGTCTGTTAATACTTACGGGCTGTCGGGTAGCCTAGTGGTTAAAGCGTTCGCTCGTCACGCCGAAGACTAGGGTTCGATTCCCGACATGGGAACAATGCGTAAAGCCCATTTCTGGTGTTCCCCGCCGTGATATTGCTGGAATATTGCTAAAAGCAGCGTAAAACCATACTCACTCACTCACTGTTAATAGCTACGTCTGACTAGGCAAATCAGCGGAAGGCGTGACCATAAACCCGACACACGGGTTTCAATGACACACAATCAGCCAAGCCAGGGTGTGATTATCAGAAGCATGAACTACTAGAATTTGAAACCTACACTTATATAACCCCGTATCCCCACAGAGGTCGTTATTGATATCTTTATGACTGTGTTAGATTGCCCAGGCCTGCAATTGAGTCGACCGTACTTTCTACATCGGCAAGAAAACCGAAGACTACATGATGCAAAGCTGTTAGTAGTTAGACACATAAAAATAAAATATATTTGACTACGTTAGCTGGTAAGATGCTTATGAATTACTTCATTTTACATTTTACGTTATATTTAATGTAACTTAGCAATAAAGTCAGATTGAGACAGGTCTGCAAACGTACCATGACCCTACATTTAGCATAGCCTATTGCAGATTCCTCCCAAATGTGATTTGGCCTAAAGTATTTTAGCTCTATTTACATCATCCCTAACATGACAATTGTTTATGGACAGGAACTGTAGTATTGTTGCGGCAATAACAAACAAAAATATTTCCTTTGAAACCAACGCTTTGGTCGGCCTTTCAAATCAGAAAAAATGCCATATATTTAAGATAAACGCACTTGTACAATTAAATGAGTGAGAATGCATATTTGTTTTTTTCGTATCCTTACAATTGGAGACCTGAAGGCATCATCGAACGATATTTAAGACGGAAACACGAACAAGACTTCACAACACAGCGACCTTGGACGTCGCTGCAGATCGGTGAGTCTGAGTTTCCTTTACAGCCATGGGTTTAACATACATATATTATGTGTCTAGACATATTTCACACCTGCATACAGCTGCATGTTTACATGGTATAGTCTGGCTGTCCTTAATCCTTCTAATAGAGACCGCCTCCGTGGTCCAATGGTAGAGCGTCCGCCCGGAGAGCTGAAGGTCCGGGGTTGGATCCACGACCGCGTCGTAACATAAGACGTTAAAAGTTGGTACTTGTTCTTACCCTGTTTGCCGCTCGGCATTAAGGGGCTAAAACAAGGACTGGTCGGCTCGGAGTCAGTATTCTGTATCTGAGTGGGGTATTCATGTTAAGTGCGGCATGGTTTCTAAGTGGAGGCGGCTAGCACTATACAATCGGCATTAGTCCGGACGAGTACAAACAGACACACACACACGCGCGCAATAATCTTGGACGACGTTAAACCAACTTTCACCTCACCTCACCCCCCTTCTAATAGAAAAATAATGCATGTACAATTGTTGTTCGAAAAAATGTTTACATATAAAAAAATAAACTGAACTAAAGCTTCTTTAGTTGTGGCACCAACAAGAGGCAACAGAGATACATATACAAAGAGGTGCACAGACATTCATAGACAGTTCCCGAGTTGTCCTGATATATGGGCTTTCCTCCCATTTCCAAAAAGCTGACACGTGGTGATTTATATACTGTCAAAAGCGGCGCTCAACCACGCTCTCTCACCCACACATATATACACATTTACATCCTTTTTGCAGACAATGTCAAATACGCACATCTTTATGATTAGTAAGACATCTTAACATAGTTGTGACCATTTGTTCTTCAGTACTGAGTGCAGTTTGTTCTGATTTCGATTTTTTTAGGGAAGATTCAACGGAAACATTTTGATCAATGTGTGATCGTGGTTAATACATTCAAGGCCTCAGTAAAGCTTTCATAATGTTTTATGGTAGACGTGTGGAGGACATTTTCAAATTTGACACATCAGTGATAAAAATTATGTCCTATGCAATTTCCCAATTTTGACTTGCACCACATGTCCTTGTGTTTTTGTCGGGTGAACAATTGACATGCTTTTGCATGTGTTTTTGACGGGTGCCACCGGGGGCAGGATAGCCACACCTTTTTGCGGACACCTTGTATCATTACTATTTGATATTGATTCATAAACAGATAGTGATTCATTGTCGCAATAGTACAATCGGCTCTGCTTTGAGCAGGGAATTCTTATGAATATGGAAAGGGTTTTGTCGCTTTTAAGAACATTCATGTCAAATATTGCGTGTTTTTCCTTCAGAGAAATGGTGTTTTTTTATCTTTAACGAGTAATTTGAGCTCCTGAATTTCAACAGATGTTATCAAAAATGTTCTTGTGAGGAAGTATGTTTTACATCTTAATTCACTTTAACGATATTATAAAATATAACCTCAGTAGAGCATTCACAATTTAACATCTTTCTTTGTTGAGAAGCATCTTTGAGTCTATATTCACTTAATAATTGCAAGTGTTATATGCTTGAAGCTGATATTATCGTGCTAGTTTGAGCTTTTCTAGATTCTTTAAGGTGTGAATGGTATTAATATTACCAGTTTGTTATGCAGAAAATGAATGTCATTGTGACGCATTTTGGTCACGTGCTACTTTAGGCATTCGAGCCTTTGGGTATCGCCCGTGAAACAAATGAACATTTTGATAATGATACCAAAACATTAATTGTGAAAATGAATAGATTGTGTGATGATGCTTTGCAAATAATTGTTGCCCAAGGCCTTAACCACAATATCCAATATCGCACGTGTATATGTGTAGTTACATGAACATACTGTAGGATGTCTACTGGGGATAAACATCGGTTATTTCTTTTTCCATCCATGTTTGACATTCTGATCAAAGATACTACACCATAATATTCCAAAATGAAGTGAGCTTCAAAACCCTGTGACCTTATTTCCCTGAGCTCATCTCTGCTAAGTGACTTTGGATCTGGTTAGTTATTCTGGAGTATAAAAGTCCAGTTTCAACCCTGGCCGAACTAGGTTGGAATTCCTGGTCTCGATCGTAGCGCCACCTGTCCCTGCTATGCCTCCCCTATGGACCAATCAGATTCCACCTCTCGTATCACTTGCCTTTGCTTCAAACAAAATAACTGCGCCCAATCAAGACAATCTGATCGATAATCAAGATATATATTGTGATAAAACGAGTCTTACTTCCCAAAGTGCATCAAATCACGTGAGCACCCTGATTACAAAGATTTAGAAAATATCTGTTGACAACGAGTGGGCGGTGCACATGCTTTGCAAATCCTGCAATCGACCGAAATCTGCATGACAAATTTGATTTCGTTGAGCGATTTTGATTAGACTATGCACAGACTCGTTAGTCCAGACACAGTATTACTCCATAATACCAACCTAGTTCGACAAGGCTTGAAACTGGACTCTTATAGTCAATTAACTCACTTGCCTCGGGAAGATTGTTTAGGTGTAAAAGTGTGAGGTAGGACAAGGGTCTTTTTTGGCTCAAGTCCAGCAAAATGTTTAGAAATTGTTTTGTAAGTTAATGCATGTGCACTAATCAATGTGAACTAGAACTATTCATTTCAAAAACTACAACACAAAATACATAGGCAAAGAAAATTGTGTCAAAAAGTCTTAACGGCTTTCGTGCTGTTTTTCATTGAAGATGTACTCGGTGACAACACGAACATAGGGTAAAATAAGCATTTAGGTTCACGGACTTATACTAAGATGTAAGATTTTGCAAGCATGAAAAAGAAAAAAGTCAGCTTAGCGTCAATGTGGAGCCAAATAGTCCAGTAGTTCAATACATGCACGATATATCATACACAGCAAATGGAATTATTCATTAATATTTTCCCTTTTTATACTTTGATGACAGAAATATCAACATGACGCCATTGATAGTCGGTCTCTGCCTGGCCGTACTGGGGGTTATGGTGTCAGGACAAGGGCCCTTTACCGGCCAAAACTACTTCCCTACAGCGAAGCACCGGCCCAACAAGCAACACCAACATTTCTACCCGTCAAGAATATATTTCGACCACCCAGGCCATTTTCCACCGCACGGGAAAAACGACGACCAATACCCCCCGCATGGGAAGCAACAAGGCCAATACCCAACGCACGGGAAGCAAGACGACCACTACCAAACGCACGGGAAGCATCAAGGCCAATACCTACCGAACGGGAAGCATGAAGGCCAATATCCAACGCACGTGAAGCAAGGAGGCCACTACCCAACACACGAGAAGCAGCAAGGCCACTACCCAACGCACGGGAAGCATCAAGATCACTACCCAACGCACGGGAAGCAACAAGGCCACTACCCAACGCACGGGAAGCAACAAGGCCACTACCCAACGCACGGGAATCAACAAGGCCACTACCCAACGCATGAGAAGCAACAAGGCCACTACCCAACGCACGGGAAGCAACAAGGCCACAAACCAACGCACGGGAAGCATCAAGACCACTACCCAACACACGGGAAGCAACAAGGCCACTACCCAACGCACGGGAAGCAACAAGGCCACTATCCAACGCATGGGAATCAACAAGGCCACTACCCAACGCACGGGAAGCAACAAGGCCACTACCCAACGCATGGGAAGCAACAAGGCCACTACCCAACGCATGGGCACCAACAACCCTACTACCCACCACAAGGGCATCAGGGACCCAAGTTCCTCCCAAAAGGGCAACAACCCCTTTACCAACCACAAGGGTCACATCAACCCCACTTTTCAACAAATGGGCACCAGCAACCGCAAAACAGCAAAAACGGATTAAAGCAGATCAACAAACCCAGTCAGAAGGTTTCAACACCGAAGACCCCGGTTCATGAATGACAACTCTGAGTTTGGAAAACAAGGGTAAAAGTAAGAACATTTATCCTGTGTAAATACTGAAATTATCACATATGATAATCGAAAGACATTGAAAGAAACCAAAACTAAAAACGACGTAATTTTTTATGTGTTTGAGTACCGAGTACGTATAAAAAACACATTATTTTTCATGGTAATGTGCGTGCGGGCTGGCGGGCGTGTGTGTCTTGCACGTGTGATAGCATTCACACTCGTTCGCGGAAAGAAAAAAAACTATATTACGTAGCTCTTATGACAGCACTTGCTATTTACATTCTGTAACACCCAATCAAGTATGCCATCAAACCACTGACTGAAAGAATGAGCATTGATCGGGGTTCAATGGTATGCATGAGGCACTGGAGCGTCATCGTTGATTTTGACCGGTCATGTAGAATGGTCTGCGTGGGCAGTCCTCCCCATTTGAAATTGACAAGTGACTGCCAACGGCTATATAAAGCGGTGTGTACATCTCCAACTATATCAAAATCACTTTAAAAATTAATCTGCACGTCTTTGTTTTCTTTCAGTTCGTGCTGGTAATGAACGTTCCGCATATACATCCGCATGCAGTCACATGTCTATTTCAAATGGGGAGGACTGCCCTAGCAGACCATCTGTCGATCCTCAGTCGGTTTGTAACCACGTGATCAAAACTCAATGATGTTGCTTATCGCCAGCAAAATGGCTATTTCTTGAAAGCACACTTTGCAATTTTCGTCATTATTGTGAGTAATATTCCTTATCGGCGGAATGGCTTGTTTTCACCGTATAATTATTAGCACACATGCAACTGTCTTCGTTAATTAATAATCGCGATATATCGCTATTCTGTTTCAAGTGACCAGGACTAGTGTGTGTTAACTGCCAAGCACAACAAAGTATACACTTGAACACTGGATTTGAGCGAACAATTACAAATGTACAAAACGTCATCAGGCTGACCCGTCCATAGATACTAGTCCTCATTGATATGGGCGTTCGCTTGTCATGCCGAAGACCCGGGTTCGATTCCCGACATGGTACAATGTGTGAAGCCCATTTCTGGTGTCCCCCGCCGTGATATTGCTGGAATATTGCTAAAAGCGGCGTAAAACCATATTCACTCATTGACATGATGCATGTAATATCGCCTATGATATCTGTATCAAATACATCACCATCGAATAACCATTTCGTGTTTGTTTTATTTTTAGCCACTATCAAAACATTTAGTGTTTACTTTTTTCAGCTCGGCAGTTTATAAGTCACTGAATCTGAGCAATTCCTGCCTGTTCTGACGACAACCGTGACATACCTCCAGATTCCTCACCGCGTTCGTTGTGTGTTAATACGTACTGGCTTGTTTCAGATTCACCAGTCCTGACTTAAACCCTATGTCTGTGCAGCAAGAAAATCGAAGATTACACGATGCATATCAACACGGCAGTGACTATGTATATTTGATTGTTGTTGTATTGAGACTTAATAAAGCATATCTGATTACTTGTGTTGTTTCGTTGTTGATGTATTTACTTATTTCGACATCGCAAGTATTACAATGTTAAGAAATGAATAGATGATGACTTGAACAAGCAAGCGTATTTTCGATGCACAACAGTAACAACTTCGGGCGGCGCAATATCAACAGATTATCAGGATGAAGAATAGTGTCCTCAATAGCACAATTGTCAGGCTTTACCTCTTCACTGCAAGAGGTGACAAGGACATGCTCGTCTGCAAGCTCCTCACAGCGATATCCCGTTCGCGGAGCTCTCCAGACTATCGCTGCCACCAGTCAAAACTCCCCACAGTGATAGATGACCACAACCATGCTTGGAGTTGAACTCGCAGCCGATTGACCGTTATGTTTACAAACAAGTGACGACTGTCGTGACGCCGAATACACTTACCCCTGCTAAATTACTTTCTTAGTTTGTCAATTTGAATTTCTATTTCATTAAAACTATCATGTAACTGATAAATTATGAATGTAAGGGAGAAGTTGGTTGGTTTTCCGTTAGTCTGCAATCTCGAACCAATCTGATTATACAAACAACAAAGTAAATTCATGTGGAAAACATTGTCAGTCGTAAACCTTTTCAAAATGAACTATGATGGCATTCCCAAAGACATAAACAAACGTATAAACGTGACTACATTTGGGGTTAGAGGGCAAATTTCAAGATTCTTGTAATGGCCGCGCCCACACTGGTGGCAGCGATGTTACCGAGAGTGTAACGAAGGTGTCACGCGCTGGGAAGGAGCTTGGCTCGTCTGGTGATAGCTACATGCATACCAATTAATACAATATTTTCTTAATCCATATTTGGGTTGTGTTATTACTCTGATTCTATCAAAGGTCTTTTCTTATCAACTGTATGATTTCTACTCAAATGGGCCGCCATTCGGTCAATACAATACATCAATTGAAATAAAAGTCACAAGCTGCAAATAACAGACACACTTATTACGATAAAAGTCATCATTTGCATTTGGATAAGGAATGTCAAAATACAAAACAGATATCAATGAGTGAGTGAGTAAGTTGGGTTAAACGCTTCCGATTAGATCACGGCGTGTCAGCTTAATGTGGGAGGAAAGCCCGACGTAATGCATGTCTAAGACATTTATCACTTTGATGAATACCACGAGTACGGGTATGGTCAACCCACGAGTACGGGTATGGTCTGACAAATCTATAAACCCAAAGGGTGCGAACCGGAATTCGAATCCATAATCATAGTTTCAATGAACAACCTTGACAAATCATATAGATAGCAAAGAAAAGACGCCATACCAAACAGTGTGTACAAAAGAACGCCAGTGTACACAAGGACACCAAACGCTAAAGGATAACATTCTCAATAAAGAATACCAGGGCGCGCTGCAATTTGTACACCATTCCGAGTTTAATCGGCAAATTCCGACGTGTATATATGATAAATGCATATTGCGTAACTCGGCGCCGAGGTTCACAACGTATCAATACGTTATTCCTCGTGTACACACTGTGTGACGTCATACACATGTTACAAACATACATTGCGAACTTAATGCATCCATGTAGAAGTTACCTCAAGTTCAGTACACTTCTGGGAATGATAACAAGAAGCCGTTTGCACTTGGAGCCTTCATTGCTTGACTGTCAATGACCAAGGGGTAGGCAGTCAATCCCAAGTATCGAGCCATTTACACACCCTTTCTTAAACCAAACAAGATCGTCACACGCATTTAATTCGCTTTGCATTCTATATCAGTTATACATAGAGCTACTGCAGACATTATATAATCGAGCCATTCATATCCATATGCAATGTCTACCGATGGATCGAGGGCCCAATGTGCGTGACGTACCCGACCACTTTCGCGACTTTCAATTTTATTTGACGTTAAAGGTAATTAAGCGTGGTAAATTGAATCTGGATAGATATCAAGACTTATGTTCGATGCTCCGGTTGTGCCATAATGATTAGTGCCACCATTCGAAGCGTATTTTGTGACATTGCTTCCGAAGGTGTTTGTTCATGAATGAACATACACGACTCTATGACCAGATCACTAAAGGTGAACATTTCCGATACAAATAATTCGAAAACTCCATAGAAGTGTGCCTGACTTCTGATTATGTGATCCAAAACATCCCAAATGTGAACAATAACATTCTTTATCTCTAGCGTAAAACGCTGTGAGTGGATCACGGTTGTCTTTTCTTATTCCCGTCTTCAGTATAGGTTGGTACAGTTACCATTAATGTCTTTGGCGAACACTCTGATTTCCCTCTTCCAAAATGGTACAGGCAGGATATAAATTCAGCTGACAGATCAAGGAAACCGAATGCACAGACGGGACCCGGCCGGCAGTGCGAGTGACCGACTAGCTGTTGGTCCGATATTTAAGCGCGGCGCTAATGTGACTTTTAAAATGTTCTTATAGGTGTCCTGGGTACTTACAACAATGCGCTTGAATTACCATAAGTTGAAGAAATTCTTCCAAAAGGATCTTGAGCGTCTGGGCTGTTATGTTTGCAAACACAACAGCAAGAGCATGTTGTTAATGCGTGTGCATAGAAATGTCAGCAATGCCCATATTTGGGCATATATCAATATTCACGCACAACCAGATTTTGCAACCGGTTTAGTTTGGTCTGTCAACGAACGAAAGTTATTATGTCTTTACACCTATATATAGACTCGTGAACTTTCTATGGTATCTGACTCGTTTCGTAAAAATGGCATCTAACGCGAAAGAGTTTAGTATTCTCTATATATTTTATGCGTAACATTTGATTATTATTGCATGCTGGTGACCTACATTTCTTTGATGTAATGTTTTTGACCGACTAGCCACCAATATTATAAGGGTAACGCTTTTTTTCAGAGTATTATCATTTGCAGAAGCCCGAAGTCTCCCATTAACCATTATAAACTAAATATCGGTTTTGAAGCATTTACTGAAATTAACGCGAATTTCACTGACCCACTTTTACAAATATGGAAACGTCATAGAACAAACCCGATGACGTCACTATTGAACGTGACGTCACCTTTTCCTATCCATATGACGTCACCTAAAAACGGGCGTGATAATGGCCCGTCGTCAAGCAATATGAGGGCATTTCCAAGTTACAGCGGCCCGCTCATTTCTGATAACTTGCGGACTATCTATCCATTTCAGCTATAATATCAGGGCAACGCTTTTTTATGGCATTATAATTTGCAGAAGCCCGAGTTCTCCAATTAACTGCCCTCCTTCGTCGGGCAGTTGAAAAGACCAAGGCATCTGCAAATGATAATGCCCTGAAAAATAGCATTACCGTTATTATAGCTAAAACCCATGGCACGGGCTACTTGAATTTAATGGATGAAATAAATATGACCTCATCCATGTTGGGTTCATCATTTTTTTGATAACATTACGATAATGACTAACTGATCAGCAAACGGACCATGGCTCTACTTTATGAATAACGTCTTTCAGACGTACACTAACCGACAACATTTGGCCTAAAGTATATTCATCTCAAAAACCATTACCTGTCCCCATGGAGCTAAGTGAGACGCCATACAACTGGAACATTGTTAAGTGAGCCAGTAATAACCAAAACACATTCCTTTCATTTTGAAACTAATATTTTTACGGCCTTCCAAATGAGACACCAGCAAAATACTGTATATTCAAGAAAAATATAGTCTGTGAGCGATTGAGAAATCACATTTAGTTTTTTTTTGTATCGTTACAGTTGAAAACCTCGAGGCATTAGTGAATGATATTTAAGAAGGACACAAGGACAACAGGTTATTTACCTTGAACATCGTTGCAGACCGGTGAGTTTGAACTTCCCTCAGATAGACATAGAAAGTTTCATATATGTAACCTGTTTTTGCGGGGGCCTTACCGTCTATTTAGAGTCATATTTGATGTGTACATTCTGTGTACTGTTTGTCTTTAAATTTGATATTGAATGGTAATTGAGAAACTCGAACAGCAGGTAAAGTAGACTTTCAAAAAGAGTATGCAATTTCTATTTTGATACTAGATTCGATGTAAACATGTTGTTTTTTAAAAGAAATGGGCAAGATCTTAAAACAAACATCATTCATGTTTCATACCATGCATTTCATATCGGGAAATTGGTGTATATTTCAGCCGTCCCGTTTGAGCTCCCCAATTTCAACAAATGTCATCAAATAAATAAAAGCGACAAAACCCTTTCCATGTACATATGAAAGCTCTGCAAAAAGCAGAGTCGATTGTACGATTCCGACTATATCATGAGCATGTGTTTATGAATCACTATCAAATAGTAATGATACTAGGTGTTCGCGAAAAGGTTAGCGTATCCTGCCCCACGCGTAGCAACTGTCACAAACACATGCAAAGGCAATTCAATTGATCACATGAAAATAGTCGTTATGTTTTAATTCTCTGTGTGTGTGTGTGTGTGTGTGTGTGTGTGTGTGTGTGTGTGTGTGTGTGTGTGTGTGTGTGTGTTTGTGTGCCTGTGTGTGTGTGCATATGTGTGTGTGTGCATATGTGTATGCATGGATGTGTGTGTGTGCATGTGTGTGTGCATGCATGTGTGTGTGCGTGCATGTGTGTGTGTGCGTGCGTGCGTGCGTGTGTGTGTGTGTGTGTGCGTGCGTGCGTGCGTGCGTGTGTGCGTGCGTGCGTGCGCGCGCGCGGCTGCGTGTCTGAGTGCCCTAGAGTCTGCGGTCCTGATTGTGTGTTTGTTTGTTAGTTTAATGTCACACTGAGCAACGGTCCAACTGTATGGTAACGGCCTGTACATCATTGAGCCTGGACCCGACAATAAAGTGATTTATAAAATGAGCAGCCACACAATAGCGACACACTATTAACCAAGTCCATTATATTGCCTCCAGCAACCACCGGAATTTGCTGTCGATCAGTCCGCACCCCGGAATCCCCAATATCAGATGATGGCAATGACTTTCCCGCTAGATTTAAAGGGCAAGTTCACACGGAAATGAACCTATTTTTCTTGTATTTTTTCCACATTAAAAGTGTTAACCTAGTAGTGTCATAGACAAAAATTTAAAAATATCACAATTAATTAACATATGTTTTGCATTAAAACGATTTATATTTTTCACATTTACCAAGTGTTCTATTTTCATACCAAAAACACCATGGCTTATGCCCCTTGCAATATGACGTCATGGGTGCCAATTGATAAACATTATGACGTCATCATGCTATGTTAGAACCGCTTCACGTGGTGTAGGTACAGGTGTGTGATTCTAGCGTCTCAGATGCCAGCCAACATAGTGTTATGCTGAGTCACCACTGCGCCGGAGTGTGTCGTAGGCCATGTTGTTTTACCGAAAACTGGTACTTGATATCTTTTGCGTTGAGAATAGACAGGGATCCAGTTGAATTGGCACGAATTACGTCATAATCTAAGGGGGATAACTCAGGCCTGTTTAGCTCGAAAAACAAAGGCCTCATAACGCCATATCATTTTCACACTATTGTGAGCTTCCTACTTTCACAGTGAAAAAAATTAGTTTACATTTTCAAACACAGATATTAACTTATTCTAAAATTGCGTTTTGTTTAGAAAAAGAAAGAAAGTTATTTTTGCGTGTACACTTCCCCTTTAACTATAGAGGCAAACGTCGAACGCACAATCTAAGTATCGCTTCACCATCAAATTTAAAGAGGCTTACATTATCGTCACGTGTTACTTTAGGTCTTCCAGCCTTTGACGATCGTTCGATGGCTTCCTTTAATCTATGCACTGTGACTATAGGAATAACAACTACAAAGCAGGTTGGTTGCAAATGGTCATTCGCACCATGCCAAGGCTCAACATCAGTCAAGATATACAACCTAAAGACCTTAAAACATGCTGCGCGAGCATGAAATTCTACCCGAGCTATCTGTTTCATACAAATTTCATCAGCTCCGTAGTACGTATACAAATGATAGGGGAGACATAGGGTGCAATGCATGCTAGTATACTCAAGAGAGTTCCTTAAGCCTTCCCCAAGGTTAGTCAAGATCAGCACTATTGAGCCCAAAATTTGAGCCCAATTGAATCTGTTTCGGAGGATGGGCAGATGATCGAGACTGATTACTCTGGCGTTGACATTTTATATTTAAAACAAAGCTGAAACCTTTGACATATTATTCCGGTTAAGGATCATTGGGTCGATGTGCATCTGAACATGGTTTTCATCTCACTGGGGAGTGTAAAGATTTCGCCTGGCAGTCAAATTGAAAATGTCAATTTTTGCCCACTCATTGTGAAATGTCCTAATCAGTATATGTGTGCGTCATATATTAATGTTTATTTTGTTGTGTATTGTGGCATATTGTTACACAATTTCAAGATATGAGCTTCATGTGCTACTGTGGCTATCAGAAGGTAGATGGCAATCATGGTTAACACATAGGCTGAGGCCTCTAAATGAGGTTACGGGTGGCTCAGTCGTCTAAGGCGCCGCAACTCGTTGAACAGAGTTGCGTCCCTTGAGCACGCTAGAAACCTATAATTTCGGTTTCGAATCCCGGTTCGCCCTGATTATGTTTCTAGATTTGTCAGCACCGTACCCGTGCTCGTGGGTTTCACCAAATTGGTAAACGTCTGAGCTGCATCACATTAAGCTGACACGCCGTGATATAACTAACATACTGTTTGAAACGGCGTTAAACACAATATCCAATATTGCACGTGTATTTGTGTAGTTACATGAACATACTGTTAGGATGCCTACTGAGGAGAAACATCGCTTATTTCTTTTGCCATCCTCGTATGACATTGTGATCAAAGATACTACACCATAATATTCCAAAATTAAGTGAGCTTCAGAACCCTGTGACCTTATTTCTCTGAGCTCATCCCTGCTAAGTGACTTTGGATCTGGTAAGCTTATTCTGGTTTTAAAAAGTCCAGTTTCAAACCTGGTGGAACTAGGTTGGAATTCCTGGTTCCGATCGTAGCGCCACCTGTGGCTTTTACGAGTTATATCCCTTCTATGCCTTTCATGTGGACCAATCAGATTCCACCTCTCGTATCACTTGCATTTGCTACAAACAAAATGGCTGCGCCTAATCAAGTCAGTCTGATCGATAATCAAGATATATATTGTGATAAAACAAGTCTTACTTCCCAAAGTGCATCAAATCACGTGATCACCCTGATTAAAAGATTTAGAAAATATCTGTTGACAAAGAGTTCACATGCTTTGCAAATCTTGTAATCGACCGAAATCTGAATGACAATTTCGATTTCGTTGCGCGATTTTGATTGGACTATGCATAGACTCGTTAGTCCAGCCGAAATGTAACTCCATAATACCAGCCTAGTTCGGCAAGGGTGGAAACTGGACTCTTATAGTCAGTTAACTCACTTGCCTCGGGAAGATTGTTTAGGGTGAAGTAGGACAAGGGCCATTTTTGTCCAACAAAATGTTTAGAAATTGTTTAGTAAGTAAATGCATGTGCACTAATCAATTTGAACTAGAACTACTCATTTCAAAAACTACACCACAAAATACATAGGCAAAGAAAATTCTGTCAAAAAGCCGTATCTTAACTGCTTTTGTGCTGTTTTTCATTGAAGATGTACTCTAATCAATTTGAACTAGAACTATTCATTTCAAGACCCGCAACACAAAATACATGAGTAAAGCAAATTGTGTCAAAAAGTCTTAACTCCTTTCGTGCTGTTTTTCATTGAAGATGTACTCGGTGACAACACGAACATAGGGTAAAATAAGCATTTAGGTTCACGGACTTATACTAAGATGTAAGATTTTGCAAGCATGAAAAAGAAAAAAGTCAGCTTAGCGTCAATGTGGAGCCAAATAGTCCAGTAGTTCAATACATGCATGATATATCATACACAGCTAATGAAATTATTCATTAATATTTGCCCTTTTTATACTTTGATGACAGAAATATCAACATGACGCCATTGATAGTCGGTCTCTGCCTGGCCGTACTGGGGGTTATGGTGTCAGGACAAGGCTCCTTCGCTCGCCAAAACTACTTCCCTATTGCGAATCGGCGGCCCTACAGGCAATATCAACATTTCTACCCGCCACAAATATATTTCGACCACCCAGGCCACTTTCCACTGCACGGGAAGCACGACGGCCAATACCCAACGCACGGGAAGAAACAAGGCCACTCCCCGCCACAAATATATTTCGACCACCAAGGCCACTTTCCACTGCACGGGAAGCACGACGGCCAATATCCAACGCACGGGAAGCACGACGGCCAATACCCAACGCACGGGAAGCAAGAAGGCGAATACCCAACGCACGGGAAGAAACAAGCCCACTACCCATCGCACGGGAAGCAGGACGGCCAATACCCTACGCACGGGAAGAAACAAGGCCACTACCCAACGCACGGGAAGCACGACGGCCAATACCCAACGCACGGGAAGAAACAGGGCCACTACCCAACGCACGGGAAGAAACAAGGCCACTTCCCAACGCACGGGAAGCAAGAAGGCCAATACCCAACGCACGGGAAGAAACAAGGCCACTACCCAACGCACGGGAAGCACGACAGCCAATACCCAACACACGGGAAGAAACAAGGGCAATACCCACCGCACGGGAAACAACAAGGCCAATACCCACCGTACGGGACGCAACAAGGCCAATACCCACCGTACGGGAAGCACCAAGGCGAATACCCACCGTACGGGAAACAACAAGGCCAATACCCACCGCACGGGAAGCACGACAGCCAATACCCAACACACGGGAAGAAACAAGGGCAATACCCACCGCACGGGAAACAACAAGGCCAATACCCACCGTACGGGACGCAACAAGGCCAATACCCACCGTACGGGAAGCACCAAGGCCAATACCCACCGTACGGAAAACAACAAGGCCAATACCCACCGCACGGGAAGCAACAAGGGCAATACCCACCGCACGGGAAACAACAAGGCCAATACCCACCGCACGGGAAGCAACAAGGACAATACCCAACGCACGGGAAGCAAAAAGGACAATACCCAACGCACGGAAAGCAACAAGGCAAATACCCACCGCACGAGAAACAACAAGGCCACTACCCACCGTACGAGAAGCAAGGAGGCCACTACCCAACGCACGGGAAGCAACAAGGCCACTACCCAACGAACGGGAAGCATCAAGACCACTACCCAACACACGGGAAGCAACAAGACCAATATCCACCGCACGGGAAGCAACAAGGCCAATACCCACCGCACGGGAAGCAACAAGGACAATACCCAACGCACGGGAAGCAACAAGGACAATACCCAATGCACGGAATGCAACAAGGCCAATACCCACCGCACGGGAAACAACAAGGCCAATACCTACCACACGGGAAGCAACAAGGCCAATACCCACCGCACGGGAAGCAACAGCCAAACCAGCGTAAACACGGTCAAACTCAGGAAAAGAATATCAAGAAACACGAACATAAGACCAAGAAGCAAAAATATTATCAGAAACATGTGAAGAATCCCTCCTATACGCAACATGGACAAGAACCTCACTTTACTCCAAAAGGGCATCAGCAACTCGACTCTCCTCCACAAGGGCATCATAACCCCTACTATCCTCCACGAGGGCATCATAACCCCTACTATCCTCCACAAGGGCATCAGCAACTCCACTCTCCTCCACAAGGGCATCATAACCCCTACTATCCTCCACAAGGGCATCAGCATCCCATCTATCCTCCACAAGGGCATCAGCAACTCCACTCTCCTCCGCAAGGGCATCATAACCCCTACTATCCTCCACAAGGGCATCAGCATCCCATATATCCTCCACAAGGGCATCAGCATCCCATCTTTCCACCACAAGGGCATCAGCATCCCCTCTATTCTCCACTAAGGCGTCAGCACCCCTACTACCCTCCACAAGGGCATCGGCATCCTCACTCTTCTCCACTAGGGTATAAACAAACACCACAGGGACATAAGGTACTCCCTCCCCCAACACAAGGGTATAAGGAGCTTCATTCCCCACCGCCACAAAAGCATCCGGAGCCTCTTTCCCCACCGCCACAAGAGCATACCGTGCTTAATTCCCCACCGCCACAAGAGCATACCGAGGTTAATTCCCCACCGCCACAAGAGCATACGGAGCTTAATTCCCCACCGCCGCAAGAGCATACGGATCTTAATACCCCATCACCACAAGAGCATATGGAGCTTAATTCCCCACCGCCAAAAGAGCAAACCGGGCTTAATTCCCCACCGCCACAAGAGCATACGGAGCTTAATTCTCCATCCCCACAAGAGCATACGGAGCTCAATTCCCCACCGACACAAGAGCAAACCGGGCTTAATTCCCCACCGCCACAAGAGCAAACCAGGCTTAATTCCCTACCCCCACAAGAGCATACGGAGCTTCATTCCCTACCGCAACAAAAGGATACGGAGCTTCATCCCCCACCGCCACAAGAGAATAAAGAAGTCCATTCCACTCTGCAAAACGAACAGACTGTGGATCCAAACAAGGGTATCAACGATCCTAATCAAGTTGAAACGATCAACGCTCCCAGTCAAGTTGAAACGAAACGTGCACGTGGATTATTTGGATAAATATAACACATCCCGAGTGAGTGAGTTAAAATGTACAAAATAATAATTTAACGTCGCATCGGCATTTTGTTGGCCATATAGTGACTTCTTATCCTGAGCAAAAACGGATATGAAATTGTCACATGTGTACTTTAAAAAAATAAATTGCAGGGCATCAAACAAAATACGATGCAAGTTTTTAATGTGTTTTCAGTTCATTTAAAAAATATATAATTTGCCGAAACAATAACATAACGAACAAAAAAGTTAGGGAATGTGAATATTTTGGTGATAATGTTAAAAGTTTAAAGATTTAGAATGAAAATATATCCCTTACGAAATCCTAATGGTGCCACTTTCGTTGCATAATTATTTATTTTTTCATCGACATTTCTCCTTATTTCAATTATTTTCTCAAAATTTCTAATTTCTTTCTCGTCACTTCGAGTGTATTTTTGTTGCTTCGATTATTTTCTCGTTACTTCAGTTATGTTCTCGTTATTTCAAGTTCATCTAAAAAAACTCCAAATTTCGAGAATTAAATCTCATCACTTCTCGTTATTTCATTAATTTCTCGAAATCTCGATTTTTCTCTCGGCATATTAAGTTCACTTCAAAAACTCGAAATTACAAGTTTCTTCCTCGTTACTATAATTTGTTCTCGTTAATACAATGGTTCCCCGAAATATCAAGAAAAATAGCTGAAATCACGAGAAAACACTCAAAATCCTTAGTTATTTAATGAACTTGAAATATCAAGGAAATAATCGAAGAAACGAGAAAATAATTGAAAAAACGAGAAAATAACCAACATTTTGAGTTTTGGAAATAAACAAGATATAACGAGAAAATGATCGAAGTAATGAGAAAAAAATAAAAGTAACGAGCAGATTATCGAAGAAACAAGAAAATAATCGAAAGTTCGACTTTTTTAAAATATCCATGAAATATAGACAAAATATTTGAAGTAACGAGAAAATATTTCGAGAAAATAATCGAAATAACAAGAAAGCTATCGAAATGACAAGAAAATACTCGACATTTTGAGTTTTTAAAATAAGCTGTAAGTAACGATAAAATAATCCAAGTAACGAGGAGAAAATGGAAATAACCAGAAAATAATCAAAGAAAAAAGAAACATCAAAATTTTGAGTTTTTTAAGATAAACCGAAAACAACGAAAATAATCGAAGTAACGAGAAAATTACTGGAACAACGAGAAAATACTCGAAATTTCGAGTTTTTGAACTAAACATGAAATAATGACAAAATAATAGAAGTAACGAGACAAAACTCGAAATTTCGATAAAATAACAAGAAAGAACTCTTAAGTTACAAAAAACAGGAAATAACCAGGAAATAATCGAAGGAACGAGAAACAACGAAATTTTGAGTTTTTTACAATAAACATGAAATAACGAGAAAACAATTGAAGTGATGAGAAAAAAAAATCGAATTTCGAGAACAAAATGAAATAACAAGAAAATGATGAAAATGATGAGAAAAAGATAGAAATCTCGAGTTTTTGAAATAAACTCGAAGTAACGAGAAAATATTCGAAATGACGAGGAAATAATCGAAGTAACGAGGAAAAACTCGAAATTTCGAGAAAATAATTGAAATAATGAGAAAATAATCGATGTAACAAGAAAAAACTCTAAAATTCGAGTTTTTGAAATAACGAGAAAATAAACGCAGTAGCCATAAATAACTGAAATTACGAGAAAATACACGAAGTAATGAGGAAAAATGGAGAGAATAAATAAGATAATCAAAGTAACGAGAAACTACTCAAAATTCCGAGTTTTTAAAAATAAACAAGAATAACGAGAAAATAATCAAAGTAACGAGAAAATAATTAAAATAACGAGAAAATAATCGAAATTTCGAGAAAATAATTGAAATAACGAGAAAGTTCGATTTTAAAAGTATAAAACTATGGTACCAAAGTGGCATCATTAGGCTTTCGTAGCCTCGGTCAATCGTTACATGATGAATTGTTATGCTACCATTGCTGTATATTGCTGTAAAAACTTGTCACGTCTGTTGACAGCACGCACATACACACACTGAACTGAAATGAAGAATTCAAAATGTGCCCCACCAACCCCTACCACAACCACCATACATCGCTGTAAGGAAAGTCTATATGAGATTATCGTTATATCTGATACTATGGATGTGAGAGGAGAATGCTGTTTAATGCCGCAGCCAGCAATATCACGTCGGCTGTAAATAATCTGACAAGGCAAACCAGTGACTGACAGTATGATCATTGATCTGAGTCATGTCGGGGAACAGTGACACGTAATCTGCTAAGTCACAGTGTCTGACTCTCCGCCTATATGCATGGGGTTATCCGCCGCCAGGGTGTGTTAGTTTGACGTTGGAGGAGCGCCCGAGGTGATGCACGTCATGTTTAATTACCCTCTTGACTCACGGAGGTATTGCTTTGACTAAACATCTTTACTGGACGCTTTGAGATTCATATCGAAAACATCACAGAAATGACGTTCGCAAACACCGTTGTGTCGAAGTTGAAGGGACCGAAGTAAATACTTCGAGTTATCAGACACAACCGTAAATGATCAATAAAGAAGGAATATGAAGGGACCAAGCTTTTACTTCGAGACAAACGCAATTTCGACACATCTAAGTTCGACACAACGGTGTTTGACTGCTTATAAAAACTCTTAAAACATATAAGACAAAAATCAGTATAAATAGTTATATATTGAAGGAATTCAGTCAAAGATCATAATTCCACGAGTTTGATAAAGGATCGGTATTTTGTTAGCAATTCTAACCCCAAGTTCGACCCGTGAAGATCTGGGATAGAATAGGTCTTCGGCAACCCATGCCTGCCGTAAAAGGTGACTATGCTTAAAAGCTTGTCGTAAGAGGCGACTAACGGGATCGGGTGGTCATAATCGCTGACTTGGTTGAAGCATGTCGTCGATCCCAATTGTGTGGATCGATGCTCATGATATCAATTACTGGATTGTTTGGTCCGGACTCGATTATTTACAGACCGCCGTCATATAGCTGAAATATTGCTGAGTGCTGCGTTAAACAACAAACCAACCAACAAACCAAGTTTCAGACAACTAAGATATAGCGTTATAACAATTGTGAGATGTGACCACAATACTGACAGCTAGTTGTTTTTATTCTTGCACAGATTTTGGACTTCGGCAGTGAAGTATAGAAGTATGACCAAAAAATGAGTGTAAATTTTAATTTTTCAAAATTCAACAGAAAATTAAACAGACACAATGCACACAATTTAGACAAACAGTGGCCCAGTTTTAAATGAGGAAATCCCCAGACCATTTTGACAAGATAAATGATTACTCAATCGTTTAACTAAACTTGATGCACCTGATTTTTGTATAAAGTTGTCACATTAATTCAGCCTTGGGGCATATCATGTATGCGATCACATGAATCAAGATTACTTATCTTTTAGACATGACAAAACACATTTAACATTTCAACATCTTCCTTAATGAGGTCCTTGAAAAACATCGCTTTCTCGAACCATAATGATTAACATGAAGCCTTAGCTTCGTCGACCGCCTCCGTGGTCTAGCTCAGTGAGCTAGCACTATAAATCGGCATCAGTCCGGACTAGTACAAGCAGCCACACAAACACACACACGTACATGCACGTCGCTATATAAGTCAACAAGAAAACATTGATGCAGAGCCATATGTGATGCCTCACAAACGCATAATTATGATGTTACTGAAAGGCATGATGGAGCATAATTATATTAACCACAAATAACACAACGCTGTTGTGGAAAAATATATTATTTATTTTGAGTATTGGGCAATACAGTTGATACATTTGCATAGGGTAGGTCTATTTAAAAATAGTTTCTTGTTTAACGCCGCACTCAGCATTATTCCAGTCATATGACGGAGGTCTGTAAATAATCCAGTCTGGACCAGATCATCCAGTGATTGACACCAAGAGCATCGAACTACGCAATTGGAATATGATGTTATGCATCGACCAAATCGGCGAGCCTGACTACCCAATCCTGTTCGTCGCCTCTTACGGCAAGCATAGGTTGCTGAAGACCTATTCTTACGTGGATCTTTATTTAAAAAGTGGATGGAAGGAAATGGAAGCAATTTCTGGCACAAATGTAAACATGTGGAAATAGTATCAAAACTGCCAACAACATTGGCAGATGCACATACTCAAAAAATAGATCACATTCTTTTTACAACTAGCATTTGGTTATAATAATGTAAATGAAAATACTAAGGGCTCCATATGGCAAAAAAAGTCATACTAGATAAGGTCTTTTTGTCACAACCACAGATGCACATACTCAAAATATTATCACGTAGTTGGAGAACATTTCAATACCGGGACTAATCAATAACGGAGATTCCTCGTCTCTTGTTTTACGTTTTTTGGTCAGTTTTTTTGTATTTCTTTCTTTCAAAGAATAGTTATTGTGATCATGATGAGTTGAGTTACTTGGTTTTTTTCTATATACTGTTTTTTTATCCAGTGTCAGTAACTGTTGTGGAATGTGGTTTACTTGTAACAATGACTGGTTTGAGTTCATATGATGATGATTGATTGGTTTGTCGTTTAACGCCGCACTCAGCAATATCCCAGCTACATGACGGCGGTCTGTAAATAATCGAGTCTGGACCAGACAATCCAGTGCCTAATATCATGAGCATCGATCCACGCAATTGGGATCGACGCCTCTTACGACAAGCATAGTAGCCTGATATATATATACTGTTAAGATGTAACATGACAATTCATCGATACTACTAAACAGAAGTAAAACCGCTTGTCCATTCGGATCAATCTGACCAAGACCATTCCGCTGATGACAGTCAAATAATGCATACGAATCGAAATCCGTAAAAATTGCAATGGAGACATCATTAAAAGTTACCAAAAGTGACGGGGATATCAATATTGCTTTTTGAAATGATTCTATGAAATTTGTTTTCCCTGCTTCAATATTTGGAGCACCTGTGACGGAGCCATAAAACTGATCTGTTATGTAGACAATATCGCTTGAGGCAGTGGCTGCTGGGGACTGATTATGACCTAAATACTCCTCATAGCCTTCGGTGTTAACTTTGTGGCTGTTGAGAGCTGTGCCTTCATCCAACAGATTATCGAGGTCAGTGGAACAGGTACAGACGCAAATAGAT